CGAGAGAAGCGAAGCCTATAGCCTGGGTAAACGCAAACCTGGCGTACGACGGCGAAGTACGTCCACAACACCTCCCAGTCTATTGGCGAACCAGTCTGCCCCGTCCACGCCACAAATCAACCGGGGTAGTCAGTCCAAAGGGTTCTTTGAAGGTCGGGAGAGCCAACGGCACCCTCGAAATGCCCTGAGTGGCTCTGCCCTTGTAATCCGACCTGGAAGTAGAGACGGGGTCAGTTCGGGCCTTGCGGCAGGCTTGAATGGGAACCCTGGTGTGTCGAGGAACAGGGTCCCGCGAGTGTCCAACAGGCTATCCCATGTCGACCTTCTGGCTGAAGAAGACGGTCGAAGACCAAGTTCAGCATCCCGACGGCCTTCAATCCTACCTCGACGTCGACATACAACACAAACAGATGCAGAGTGGACGCCGTGAGCTTGACACATAAGGCTGTCCTGTGTTTCACATTCTCTTTCCTGGATTTTTGTGCATATTTTCCTTGGTCCTTGGGGGTTGCGGATTCTCAAACGCTTAAAAAGTCTGCGGTATATTGGGTCTCATAGGTATGCATTGCATAGGATGGCGCATTGGGGATTTTCCTTTGTTGGTCTAGAACTTGTCTTACGTAGACAGTTTCTTTGTTTGAGGTATAGCAGATGCAAAGGGTATCGTTCGGACTCGTCGTTCCTGTTCCAATGCATGGCAGTTCAGGAAGATGGTCCGGTCTGCTGCTTGACTGGTCTATGTAGATAGTGCAGGGATGGCTATCTCCTGCAGTCATGAGTAGGAGTACTTGTTAATATGAAAGGATATACTGAATTCAGCCCTCTAGAGCAATCAGGCGAAAGGATTGGGTTAATCTGCAAGAGTCGGAGTACTTCGGGACAAGAGCTAAAAGCGGCAAGCGGCGAGTCCGACGGTGGAGCAAACTAAGTATTCTACGGGATTTCAAGTCCTTCTTCCCCGTGACGCCCCCCGACGCAAATGGCCTGATATTATACCGCTGGAACTATTGCCCATTCCACTCTCCCTCTCGATTTGCGGTCGCTCTTCATACGGCATTGCTTGTGTACGGTATGAGGGCGGCGCTCCGCGCTCCGCTGCGGGCATCCGATTTGGATCCTGCGCCGGTGCTCCGATATACCTCGTCTACTTCTTGGATTCGCCCTTTCCAGTGCGCTTCGGGCCCCTTGTCTGTTCACAGATCAGTCTCCAACTCCGCAAAAGCCTTTAAAAAACCTGCCAATTACGCCCACAAGTACCGTTGGTAGCATCAATACCACATGCTTCTTATTCAACCAAGACCTCCGCCTTGTTTGGTGCGGCGGAGAAGGCGAACGGCAATGGCAGGAAACCATCGGGGTCAGAATGGTCACGGAGAAAAGTGATCACGTATACGGTTGTTGGCGGAACTATACTCATTGGAGTGGTGGCATTCTCAGACAATGTTCAGCATCTTTATCGTGCTGCGGCGAGAACGGGGAGGGTCGTTGGCACATTGGCCGTGTGTATCAATGAGTAAGTCGGACACATGCACATCATACATATTTTTTTGTCACTTATGCTCATACCAACGCTTTAAGCTATCGAGTAACCCTCAACCGGGAAACATCCTCACCCGAAGAACGAAACGACGAACTCCGAGCATGTCACAAGCGTTGCGCAGAGCGGACTCTAAGGGTTCTCGAGAAGAATGGCTCCATTTTTATTAAGTTGGGACAACACCTCAGCAGTATGGGCTACTTGCTGCCATTAGAATGGACGACAACATTCATTCCGCTTCAGGATAAATGCCCTGTCTCCTCGATCGAATCAATCGAACAAATGTTCATCGCCGACACCGGCCGTCGAATCGACGAGCTCTTCTCAAGTTTCGATCCAGAACCAATTGGCGCCGCTTCCCTTGCCCAAGTTCACATCGGTATCCTGAAGGAAACTGGCCAGAAGGTTGCAGTCAAGGTGCAGCATCCAGCATTGGCGGAATGGGTCCCCTTGGATCTGGCATTGACCAGATTCACCTTTTCTACCCTGAAGCGCTTCTTCCCTGAGTATGATCTGGAGTGGCTTTCGAAGGAAATGGATCTATCCTTGCCACAAGAATTAGACTTTAGGATGGAAGCCGACAATGCTAGGAGGGCTAGCAAGTACTTCAAGGAACATTCAGATGCGCCGCTTGTCATCCCAGAAGGTACGTACTAGCTTCATTGCAACGCAGTTACTGTATACTAATAGGCACAGTTATGTGGGCTCAGAAGCGCATCCTCGTCATGGAGTTCTTGTCCGGCCGTCGACCGGATGATCTAGAGTTCCTGGATTCCAACAATATCGATCGTGACGAAGTCTCCGCTGCCCTAGCGCATATCTTCAACGAGATGATTTTTGGCGACAATGCTCCTTTGCACTGCGATCCTCATGGTGGCAATATTGCGATCCGCAAAAACCCTAACCGGCGCGGTCAAAACTTCGACATCATCCTCTACGACCATGGATTGTACCGTGATATCCCCCGTGATTTGCGTCGCAACTACGCCAAGCTATGGTTGGCGGTCATCGAAGCTGACGAGGCACACATGCGCGAGTATTCCCGCAAGGTGGCGGGCATCACGGACGAGCAGTTCCCTCTCTTCGCCAGCGCAATCACTGGTAGAGACTACACCAAGTTGACCAAGAAGAACATTGCCACCACACGCACAACTGCGGAGAAGGAGAGCATGTCCGGCGCTCTTGGAGAGGGCATGTTGCAGCAGCTGGTCGAACTGCTGGGTCAGGTACCCAGAATCATCCTCCTGATCCTTAAGACCAATGACCTCAGTAAGTGTACCATTGCCACCTGCCCGAGTACAATGGTAAACTAACAACCCGCACAGCCCGCAGCCTCGACGAAAATCTCCACACCAGACAAGGCCCCGTCCGCACATTCTTGATCCTCGCTCGCTACGCCACTCGCACCGTCTTCGAGGAACAAATGGACCTGATCCACGAAACGGGCGGTCTTCTCCGTCCCTTCAACTTCCTTCGCTTCCTCGCTGCTTGGACCGGGTACCTCCGCGTCGAGCTCAAGCTATCGGTCTACGAGACATTGCTGTCTCTGAAGAGTCGACTCGGACTACTCTAGCGAACCAGCTTAGACCATCTCTTCTGGATACGTTGTCAGAAGTAGCACCCTGTACATTCTTATTTTAGACCTTTTCTTTCTTTCCCACTCGGTTAATGATCGATAGATGAGCAAAGGGTTGGCTTATCTGCATCACCGGCGTTTCTTTCCTGGTTATGTGTTTCACCATGGCGGGTGGGCTTTTCTTTTCTTCATTTGGCTGGTTTTGGTTTATGGACGACAAGTTCCTATTCTTTGTTTCCTTATAAATATATGTATATCAATAGAGATCTCTCCTGAGCGGATGAATATAGATTGTCAAAAAGTCCAGAGTACGCCAATCCCTCCATATAGATACCGCGGACTTAGATTGTACAGGGAAATGCGGGTCAATGAGCAATAGAACGATCCAAATTCACTGCACGCAAGTGCTTTTCATTAGACTATTTGACACATCAAGTGGACTATATCACAATGCCTTCCTGCGTTATCACGGACAAGGAAAAAAGAAAAGAAAAAAACATTGGTGAAGAAGAATAGCAACCTTCAGTAAAGGACTGTACCCAATGCAGTCTGTTGCCGGAATAGAACGACCCATCCAAGCACGCTATTCCATTCTAAAAGGTAATATCAACCTCCCGCTAATAAACCGTAAAACTGTTGAGGAAATCTCATCTGGTATCAACTTGAATTTTTTGTTGGTTTGAATTTTCGATTTTTTGTACTTTGACTGTGGTGCTTGTTGGTTCGTTAAGCAGTAGCAGCGGCACCCTCGGACTTCTCAATCTCAACCTTGACGTTAGGGATAGAGGCACCGGTACCTCCAAGGTTGGTCGTACGAGCGTTAGGGTTCTTGGTATAGTAGTTGGAAATCGCGGACTTGATGGCGTCCTCAGCAAGCATCGAGCAGTGCAACTTCACGGGGGGCACTAGATTTGGTCAGTATGTTTTCTCCCAGAGGCGAACATGTGATTGAATAGTGTTCTTGAGGTAGGAATGAAGGACAAGCCATTCAATGCAGCAATTGGGGCAGGGTGAACAATGGGACCTAGTTGGGGAACACATTGCGGGATATCTTTCAATGAGAAAGTCGATCCAAAGTCCTTCTAGAATCAATAATGCCCCAAGGCTCCGTGTTCTCCAAGACCGGCAGCTTCGCACATTGGTAACGGAATCTTGGAAGTCGACCATTTACCCAAGATCCACATACGCATGTACGAAACCCCACAAAATCACCCTCACAGGAGCACATTGGCTAGCTTGCAAGTTTCGGCATTCGGGCACAATGAACAAACATTGGTTGGGAAAGACGCGTTCAAAGGCAGGGTAATGTAGGGCGAGGGAAAAGAACGATGAATAACTTACAGCCTGGAATGTAAAGTTAGCAAACTGTAGGATACATGATAATGTATGGTTTCCGTCGGAAAACTTACAAAGTTCACGAGCAATTTCAGTATTCTTGATCTTTCCGGCCTCCTCGAGAGTCATACCGCGCACCAACTCTGTCAGGTAACTCGAACTGGCAATGGCGCTGCCACAGCCAAATGTCTTGAACCTGACGTCGCTGATCACATTCGTATCCTTGTCAACACGAATCTGGAGCTTCATGACATCACCGCAAGCGGGGGCGCCAACAAGACCAGTGGCAACGTCGGCGTCGTTCTTGTTGAAACTGCCAACTTTGGGAGTGTTAGCCTTACTCATGGCGGGGACTACCGCGATAGAAAGAAGCATAAAAAGACAGCCGGGGAACAGTCGGGTGCATCGGATAAAGAAGATGTATCGGCCGTTTGTGCATCCCAATCTATCACAGGTCGAATAGCTTCTGATATGTGCAAGTCGACGTACCGTTACGGGGGTTGTTATAGTGATCTAACAGTGCATGCAGTCAGTTTCGTTGTCATCCTTTTCTTAAGAAGCAAAGTACGTATCTTTCTCATGATATCCTCTCTTCGTCGCAGGGGCCCGGAGAATGGGCTGGCTTTGGATGCCGGAAAGGGCCGGGGTGATGCGAGGCGACACCACGGTGCCAACGCGGGGAGCGACAGTTACCAGACGTCTGAACATTTCTGAGGATGTATAACCAATTGCTCGAAGTCGTGCAAAGCGATTCAGATAGTTATGCGGAAAGACCTCCGGTTGTGGGGGATGAAGAATCGATGACCGAGGTAGTGATGGTTGAAGAAAGATTGATCGAACTTCACTGATTGATTAATATGATAAAATGGGCGATGACAAACCCGACCTAAATCACCGGCGCTAGGCCCCTTTCAGCAACCCCGTCGCCTTCGCGGGTCCGGCCTCGGACATGACGTTACCCCCGAGTCGCGCAGCACCAAATGACAGAAGGATTGGTTATCTGATGGAGAGACCCAGCAAATGACCTTTCCTCATGATGAGAACATCGATGCAAGTGGTTGGCCGTCCAAGCCATTTCCCACGGGAAACCGCAGGGGAGTTCCACCGGTGGGAGAACTGGCGGGATGCATTCGTTCTAGTTCGTTTCTAGTATAGAATCCCGGTTTAGGACCGGTATTAGTCCTCCCGATAACCAACGAGGGTCTCGTACAGTCTGAATTACCAAGCGAACAGAACACCCTTTTACCGGCGCGTTGGTGTAATTAATCTCTCTGATCTGGGGGGATTTGCCGCCCTCCATCTGATAAGACCTTCCTCATTCGGTTAGGGAATAACTATCCCCCGGCCATTATCAGCTCATATCAACCTTCCCTTTTCTATTTTGAAAATCCGCAAGCGATAATTCGTGCTATGTACATTAAGATATAAGAAGCGTGGAAATGGCGGGGAAAATCTTTGGTCGATCGTCGGGAGTAAGTTTGATCTTACCCTTTTATGGTATCTGTAAAGGATGCATAAACACCGAGCCTCCTTATCGCCAGTAGTACCATTATCCCCGTAGGTATTATTTCACAGCAATTAACCTCACCAGTCTGTCAACGCCCCCATAGCTGCCTTTTCCATGGCTCTCATCCTCACCACCTACTGCGTCAGCTCCATCCGTACCGCGCGCCGTGAAGCGCAGGCACCAAGCACCGCGACACGTCAGAAATCCGCAGGAGAGAAGACGGAGCAAGTGTCATGGGTTCAGCAGGCACTAGAGGAAAGTCGCGAAGCTGAACGGAAGGTGTCAAAGTAACGCATGTTGTACGGTATGATCAAGAGAGTTGCAGTCATGGGCGTAGTTCTACGGGCTGAAGGGGTACGTATATCGCATCTAATATCAATTCTTCTCTCATTGTTTTTGGTATTTGCTAACTAATTAAGCTATCCTATCAGTGAGGTAATACTATAGGGTACACTAGTGAAAGGTTAGCAGATGTACAGCCAAATGCTAAGTCACACTTCGCAGTGATATCCATGATCAGAATTTTCAGTGTATGAAATAGTCCTTTCCAGAGTGTTGACTGGATCTACCATTTATAAAGAAGTATCATCATATCATCGGATAGCAACAGCGGCTTTAAAAATCCCTCTAGACATTATAGAGGGCAAGAGACGCAATTCTGATAGGGTTAAACATTACCTGTAAGGTTTTCGATGTTCATAAGAAGTTAACTGAGGGAGAAGTCGGTGACTGTGGGAGACGTAAAAAAAAAAGTAGGTAGATCGTTTAATTGCGGCTAGTCCTATTCGGGTGTCAGTAGTAGGATGATGACTAAGCGTTGGACTTGGTCATGAGTCGTTCTATAGAACTTCCTAATTGAGAAGTCAAATCCAGGTTTAGCTTATACCTTTGTTTCCACATTTTCTCCAAGCCCTGAGGTGTCTTAGCCCTGCTTGACCAGGAATAATGCGTCTCAGTAGTAGTATAGCGTGGTGCTATAGCAAGGTGTGCATGGCATTATCTTCAAGACCACCGTGGCTCAGGCAGTGAACAAGTGCGCAATATATACTATCCATGACGCCTTTTTTTTCAAATTATTTTGATGAGCCATCATCCACATATGCATAAATAGCCGAGCTGCCCCCCAGATAGTAAATCAACAGAATGGCTTCAAAGCCGATAGATTTGAGATTAAAGTACCACAAAAAAGAAAGTCTGAGAAGACAATTCATTGTGCAAGGGGAGAGTATTTGGAATATCTAGGGAAGACAACTGCAAAAGGGGTTATCCCATTGCAACAGACTCGACTAGGTAACATTATTCATATCAATCACAGCTCCAATAAGCAAAAAAGAGATTGCATCATCCGTGAATCGAACACGGGCCTCATCGATGGCAACGATGAATTCTACCACTAGACCAATGATGCTTGACCAACCAGCGTGTTATCGGGCTAATTGCTTGGCATAATTTTATCTTTTTGGCTCTATGATGTGAAACAAAAGCTGAAACATATACTAAATAGTCATGAGATTGCATACAGTGTAGGAGAATCACAAAATCCAACAAATCAAGTACACAGCTTTTGTTCCATGAAGCACATCATTGTGCTTTCTGAAACTGATTTATTCATGTGTATACTGCTTTGATGTATATGCAAAGGTTCATCTCTACCCAAACAACCAAGTAGATCGCATGATAGGCTTCAATCATAGTCGTCTTCTCTAGTCCATTTTATCTCAAGTACTTCGCTTCACTCAGTATATGCGTATTCTGGCGATAAACACGTAGGTGTAGTAACGTATGTACAAGAGCAGCCATGCAAGTGGTATGCGAAAAATAATCGAACGCTCGTGAATTAACGAAAAAGACAAAATAAAAAGAGGTCTTCTACCAAACACAAACCGGTCATAAGGCTGTAGAGATCAGGGAAACCGATTCTTCACATGCCAAAACCTCGATCTACCTTAACACCCTTGAAACCGACTACCCCCGATGCCGAGGAACACATTCAAAGGTAAGACCCTTTATTTTGATGTATGAGGGTAGAGCTTGTAAGAAAAGGAACAAGCACAAGACAGTTCCTTGCTGTATCCATTACTAAGAGCGCAAAGCCAAAACGCCAGGGCGCATACAATTAGCTCCCTTGGTAATGGTAGCATTGAGGTTTACAATAGCCTGCAATGCCTCAGAGCAACTAATGATTGGATGTTCAGTCATCATCATATACCAGAAGAGTCTTTAGCTGCTTCTGCCATCTGCTGCTTCAATGCCCCTTCGTGTTGAAGGTGGCTAATCGTTTTCCGTAGATATTCGTATGTAAGCATGGTGGTCATGGCGGCCGGAACAGCACGGAATAGGTTCGTGCCTATTCCTGAGTAAAATGCTCGCCAACCCTCTTCTTTCAAGATAGTCTGACACGTACGAACAACCCCCGTATACCGAGGCCGATTAGGCATTCCATCCGATGAGGCCGCTGTTGGAGGCCTACCACGGCACTCTGGGTGGTCTACTCCCCCGCGGAAGGCTATCTCTTCCGGAGAAGACACAGGAGACGTTCTCTGTTGGGTTTGAAGTCTCGTTCGCAGTACCTCATGCGGATAGGTCACTGTGCTCGCGCAGATCTTACTAAGGAATGTCGCCAACGATATCCCAATCCAGTGAGAGGTACCGTTGTCAGGATGTTCCCCAATTCCGTACCCAGTAAATGCCATTTTCAAATATTCGTAAAGCGGAAATTGTATGGCAACATGTGTCAACCCCAACAATGCCGGTGTGAGCCCCGCGTAAAATGACCGAATCCCTTCGGTCTTGTACATCTTGCGAGCCGCATCCCATGTGCCCGAGTACCGCCATGGAGCACGGAAGCCCTCGCTATCTGACCTAAGGCTCTGTGACATGAGTCGCGTTTTGATGACCCAAATCGGATTCGTCACGATTGTAGAGCAAGCGCCAGCCGTTATAGAAGCATAACCTCTTGCAAGCCACCAGCTATCTGCTCAGAGCTTTAGTAAAACAGATTCCTGGGATAGTTAAGGGGGGAACAAACCGGTGACTCCATGATAATACTCCCGAGATCTATCATAAACCGCCAAGTAAACAGCCCATGTAGGCAAATATCCCAAAATCATGGGGCCTAAACCTTGGTATAGTCCTCGAATACCATCTTCACGCCATATCATCCTTCCAGTACCTAGCATACCTCGGTATAACGCTTTCGCTTCAACTACCTGCCCGCCCCTCCGCACAAACCCGCCTTGGGCTTGTAACTTGGTCTTGATCACATCGAGAGGACATGTCACGATACCGGACGCTACACCCGCACTGGCACCGCAAAACGGGGCAATATAAAAGTCTGGAACGCGGGTAGAGAGTAGTTCGAGGCGAGTTATTAACCCAGAACTCGGCGGGCTTGTAGCGGAAGGCGCATCGAAGCTGGGGGTGGTAGGGCCGTCTGAATGTGTAATCTGCTGCTCTTGGGAGCTGTTGGCAGTCGCCGAAGTGCCGTGTTCTTCTGAAAACATCCTTCTAGCCAGCGCCCTAGCAGTCTATCTATCCGTCTTAATTGTCACGAGGGCTCCCGGACCCGAGCATATCAATGCTCGCTCCGGAACCCAGAATGGTTGGTTGTCCTGCGGAGTGTGAACGTTTTCCGTCTTTTGCAGCGAGCGTTGGAATGGAAGTATCTGGTCCAATGAATTGAGGGGGTCTTGACAAATGACTCGATGCTGAGAAATCCACCTTATGATTGAGCGTGCCCTATCCGAAGCACAGACAGGTGGGGTTTTTGAAGCGACTCAGCTCCCCTACAGGACCACAGGATGAATTTAACGGTTGATGATCCCCATAACCAATTCACAAAGATTGGGGATGATGGATAGGGTTGCAAGTCGAGGGGGAAATGAGTCAATCGAGATTTTCGGAACTGACGGCGAGGACGGAGCAGTACGGAGAATGGTAAATGAGGTGAATCGAAGGAACCTCCTCTGTCGGTCAGGTGGAGTACTATTAAGTTCACCCCGGTCCCAAGCGCTATGCAGTCTGAGCCAAGCCGAGTATTAGTCACGTGTGTAGTGATCGGAAGCGTCAAGGTCAGATTAATTGCCTCAGGCATGAAAGATCGGATGTTTTTGGGAAAGTCACCCGCCGAACCTCCGTTTTGCACAATCTCCAACGTCGGGCCAACTCTTGCTCAGCTTGTCTGATATCTCACGACCCCCTCCTCTCCGCATCATATCAATTGACCCCAGAATACATCCATTTGGGATTATTCATCATGTCCGCCCCCTCTCTCAGCAGCTATATCGTCAAGCGCCCTTGGCTCAAGCGCTGGATGATGCCCATTGCCAATTGGTACACCGACGCCGCCGGCTACAGAAGACTCGGTTTGAAGTAGGCCTCCCTGCCCTCAATCTCCCAAAACAGGCGCCGGCAAATACCGATAGGTCGAAGCGATGGCTCCCAATTGAATACCTCAATATTTCCTATAGCCTCTCTCCGTCCTATCTCGGTCTACGCCTGTCCAGGAAACAATTTTCAATAGCTCGACATCAGACGCAGTTTGGCTAATAGAAACAGGGCTGATGACCTGATCCCCGAGGAGAGCGAGGTTGTCCAGACGGCCATCAAGCGCCTTCCCCCTAAGGAGGCTTATGACCGTGTCTTCCGTATCCGCAGGGCTTTCCAGGTTTGTCTCTACTAACTACGATATCTTCCCAACCAGCGGTCTAATGCATACATCAAACAGTGCTCCGTTTCCCACACCCTCCTCCCCGCCAATGAGCAGACCAAGCCTTCTGATGTGAGTTGAATTTCAAGCTTTTTACTTAGCATTTCGCCCTCCCATGCTCCGCAAAGCCTCTCGACCAATCCCGTGAAGCGGATTTGTCAACCGACCTACATCATATATAGGCCACCTCGGACCCCAAAACAGAGGAATCCGAGACTTTCTATGGGGCTTTGGAGCAACAAATCGCTGATTGCTATTGCTAGGATGTCGAATACCTGAGCCCCATCATCCGCGAGATCGAGAAGGAGCAGAAGGAGCGTGCGGATCTCGACTCCCTCGTTGTCAAGCGCCGGTAAATACCTTGCTCAGTTCTGCTGATTAGGAAGATTCAAACCCGCGCCATGGTGATAGAAAAGCAGGCTATAGATGAACACAGGCTTATGTTTCGGTTCGGTTGCAGCGCTTAGTTGCGATGAGCACTCGGCTGAATTTAATTGGTTTTGATACGTCGTTCGATCATGTGTACTGATATTGTACAAATTCATTTGTCGTCATTTTGTTGATTGAATACCTTCAATTGACCATTCAGTCAGTAATGTCTGTGGCCGAGGCTCCACCAGTCGTAGTATCTGAAGCCATGGATACATATGCCGGGTGTAATCTGATAAGCATTTGGCTTGACGACCACAACCAGCTAGTACGTTTCTGAATGGTTTGTTTCATACCAACAGCAACCTAGGAAAGTACTTCTTTTAGCAGGATACCTGCGGGTTTCCATTTCGTGGTAGTACACACTACCAGGCCGCCCAATATAAATCAACAACGTTATATACTACAAACCAAGGGTTTACTCTCCTCTAAGTAGTCAAGACCGCGATATCCACGTTCTCTACCCTCCACATGTACCACATAAATAAACTTCTATCAAGGCCGTGTGAGAACTGCGTTCCATGCGTTTCGCTCTCGGGGCTCAAATCACATACCTATACGGAGCGAATTTCGCAGCTAGCTCTAACATATCCTTCTCTGCCATGTACTTGAACTTACCGCCCCCCTTTGCCTTTAATTTACTCACATCTTTCCCTACGAACGCGGCGCATCCCCTTCTATCCCATAGTCAGTAACCATTTGGAGGCAGTCCAGCCATACCCGCATGGGCATAACGCGCAATGACTTACTGCACGCCCAGATCACCGGTCGAGAAGACGTCTATGCGCTTCAACGCAAAGCAAGCAAACATCTCAACCGACCACTTGCCCAAGCCCCGGACAGCCGTCAGCTTCTCGAGAAGTTCTTCGTCGCTCGCATTCAGCAACATTCGGGCACTCAATTCGCCACTTGCGAATTTGTGCGATAGTCCTTGGATATATTCGGCTTTCCGCTGAGAAAGACCGGCAGTCCGCAGTGTCGTGATATCACACTTGATTATCTCTTCGGGTTTCGGGAAACGGTTCGTCTCTGGTGTATTATCTCCACTGTCCTTGCTGTTGAACAATGCCACGAATTTATCCTTGATTGACTTCGCCGCAGCGCCTGATACCTGCTGCCCTATGATGCTAGCCACCAGGCTTCGGAACGGATCGACCTCCTCTGCTAAACCCTCTGGCGAAAAGAGCGGACACGGGTGTTGCTTTATGACCGGCTCCAATCGGGGGTCCGTAGCAATTAGGTGAGCGACAGCTTTCTCGAGAAGCGTACCGGTCGTGGCTGTTGGGCGTGGTCGGCCGGTTTTGCTAGGCGAGGCATTCTCAGTACCGGGCGGGTAGGCAACCAGAGAAGAACCGTGGGGTGTTAGAAGGGTCGCATTTGTTCTGTGAGGTTCAACGGGACGGTCAAGAGGAGGGGGCGTAGAGTGTAGCCTGCTAATACTCCGATCAGTGGGTAAAGGGTCGAAAATGTTATTGGGCTTTTCTTGTTTGGCCGTGTCGGCGTCTGCTGTTTTGCTCGGAGGTGGGTTCTCAAAAGTCCGTTCTAGATTCAAGCCCGCCGTTTTCTTTCCTTTTGCAGGGGGCTTTCGTGCCTTGGTGACGCCGTTGGTTTGCTGGGCTTTGCTAGTCTTCTTTGTTTGGATGGCCGGTTGTAAGCTGTTAGTCACGGCGCTTAAGCGTGCAGAGCGCCGGAGGGCCATTGTATATTCCTGTATAGCTCTATATATATATTCCGCTTCAGAAATGATCTTGGTGTTCTGGATCTCGAATGTAATTAACTCAGTGGTCTTTTGGAAAGCTTGCGATGGAGCTAATGGTTAGTGAATGTCGCGGTGAGAGCTCGGGATATGTCATCAATCACGGGGGCTCGTATTCCCCACTGCAGTAGGAACCTTTGAGAATGTTGATAGTATGTGTTTATTTGGTGTAGTTCATAGTCATTAAGGAATAGGTCTACT